TTTTCTTTTCTGTTTTTTTTCCCTTTTTTTTTTTTTTGGGGGGGGGGGTTAAGTGCTCTAAAATACACCTTAAAGTACATGCTAGTAACATGAATTGTACAATAATACACCACCATTTACATGTTTTCACCATGGGGTTTGAAACAATAACTAAATTCCAGAAAATCTCAGACCTTCTGGAATGACTGTAACCCTTTCTTGTTCAATTTTAAAAACATAATTGCCAGTTTTGTAATAAAACAGAGCAGCTGGAAAATGACAGTGTCTGATATAGAATTCTGTTTACTAAACATGCAGAAGACACTGTAAACATGGCTCGTATCTCCAGTGCCTACCATTTTATAGGTAACAGATGCATCAGTCCAGTACTAAAGCACATCTGCTTTGTACTAAGTGGCGTTATCACAGATGTTTATACACTCCTTGCAGCGTGAAGTCTGCAAAATAGCAATAGTATGGAAAAGTACATTTTAACCAAAATATGTATGCAACCCCCGCTTCTGTTTTGTTAAAGATGTTTGGATGGCAGAAGGAGCTCAAGTGTAGGAGAGCAAGTCAGTATCATAAAGAACATTTTTTCTGGGTTTGAAAATCATTTAAATAATTCATACAAGTATCAGCAGCACCTAACAGTAATTGCATTCAACCATGACTGCAGCCTGTCTGTACTGTTAACGCTTTTTTCTCCTCCTGCCCTCATTACAAAAGCAGTTTACAGAGTTATACTTACAGAACTTTAATTTTGTAAGATACCTGACATGGTTGTCACTCATTACCCCTACTGCTTCGATTTCTGTAGGCAGAAAAACTATAAGGGATGCCACACGGACCATTCGCTGTGAGCAAAAAAAGTAAAATTTGTTGGATGAATAAGGCCTGAATTTCCTTCAGATATCAAGCTGCAATTTAAAAAAAAAAAAAAAAAAGCAATTTATATGCTCATTTAAAACAGACTTTGGCCTAAAGCTACAACAAGGGAGAAAAACCTTCAGCTTCACTGAATGGTTAACACTAGGAATAGGCTCCAAATTAGTAGATGCCTCATGTTTTGTAGTTCAGCCACATTGAAAAGTGCTTATCACTAAAAGAATGTACACCAAGAAAATGAGATCAGCTTTTTATTGACAGCTTCTTGGCAGGTCCACACATCTTAAGATTTAGATCTGGGTTATAAAATGTGTACTATCAACAGATATTAGTCTTTTCCTTTGGTGCAATTAACATACATAGCTTAAAACATTACCTCTGAACTGACTGACTAAGCAGTTACACCTACTTGAGTGAACTTGACATTCCTCCGAATGTCAAATTGATATTTGCAGAATGACAGTTTCTGCACAGAAAGAAATACGGTTAGCCCTGTAATTGATTCACATGGTTGTGATTCAGGCACTCTGTTATTTTATATTCCTTACACATTAAAACACTTGGTGATGAAGTAATTTGAAAAATGACATGACAATTCAAATGCAAGCTTCCATGCTTTAGTGATTATAAGAACATGTAATTGTCACTGGGTTATACTTAATGCAGTTCAATGGGCTTAGGTTTTTTCTTTTTTTCTTTTTTTAAATACAGGAATGCTATACTATCATAGCTATAGAAATAATAAATTTTGATGATAGTCTTGTAACAGAGGATAAGGTACCGAGTTCCAAGTACTGATATCAAATAAGTTTTAAAAAGCTTTGCCAGCCTATACCTATTTTATAGAAAGGAGAATCTTATTAAAAAACTAAAAAAAACCCCACAAAAAACAGTTTATGGCACAACAAAGGAAGGGAAATTAAAGCTGTGAATAACTTCCAGACAAGCAAAGAGATAATTCAGTGCTTTACAGGTTCTTCCTCCATTTTCAGTTTCATGTAAGTTTCAAACTGAAAGCAGAAATCTACATCCTGAGAAAGGGAGCATTTCAAAATGGCATATGCATACACCTAATTTTTTTTTTTAAGCCGTGGTTCAGCTTTATTATTTTGATACATTATTTTGAGACGATATGTTACAGGAGGTTAATTATGTGCATAACAGATCATTAAAAAAAATGAGCAACAGAATTTAAAATCAATTTTTAAAAAGTAGTGCTGTCCCATGGCAAAAATCTGTATTGCCTTACGTATACATGTGGTTCTGCTGACAGCAGTGGAAATGCAGCACACTGGTAAGGAAAACAGAATTTAGCCCGTTTATTAAAATAATATTCTAAGTTATCAAGAAATCATTGCTGTAAACAAATCTTTATGAGAGGTAAAAGCCCTTTCATGTACAGTACAACTCGATGCTGAATGTATGTTTCCATCTAACTACTGTTCAGCTCAAACTAATTTTAATTAAATGTTACTACTGTGCAATGAATAATTTTAGGATATTTTGGTAAAGAAATTCAGGTTTATTTTCAAAAGACTATTCTTAGAATGTCTGTGCTAACTGTTAATGCATTAAGTGCAGTACAGCTTGCACACTGGATCTACAACATATTCCCATATAACTTACATGTAAACAGAATTTTATTTCAAGCACCACTTAGGAAAATGAAACGCATCTGAACTGCTGCACTAAAACTGAAAGTAAAGTTTGGTCAACCTCTTACACATTCACCCTGGATATTAAAATAAATGTCTCACAACCAATGGAATAAGCTAGCTCCCATACTTCACTCCCTGATTTTCTTCAGGATCAGAAATAGCATGATAAAAAAACTGTAAGGTGCATGAATAGATGCCATTCCTGAAAAAGCTGCAACATTCTGACAGACACTCATAAAAAGCATTTCAGAAGGAACATCCACACAGACATAAATATTCAGTCTCAAAAGAGCTATTGCACAGGGATCATTTCAGACTGCAGGAATGCACCTTAGGTGTGGGGCACTGATTTTATGGCGCCTACATCTTCCACTTTTCTCCTAGACTCAGTTACAGCTTTATCATATTGAGAAGCCAGAATGAAGGGCTGAGATTAAAAAGGGGGGTGGGGAGAAGACTCCAGAGGAGGTAGGGGGAAGAAAGAAAAACAAAAACAAAACTGTTAACCCATCTGATTACATACTACGCTAGTAGAGACAATGGCATAGCTAAATAGGACATTTAAAAAAACAAAAATTACTTGCCCAAAGACAAAACGGGAAAGCAAGAATTCTACTTTAAAAGATGGATCTAAAAAGGCTTTATAGCTGGAACTGAAAGTAAAAATAAAAAGCGTTAGGAAGTCAGAAATCATTACAAGATTTAGGAGTAACATTATAATTAACACCCTGGAGGTTTTCTCTGAATTACCAAGCACTAAATTCAGGTTTCTCCTGCAGAATAGGTTTCACAACTGGATAGCAGGATCAAAAATAATAAAATAAATCACAAAATAAAGTTACCTAAGATAAACAGAATTCTTTTTCCCAAGTTTTTTTTTTTTTAAAGGAGCAATTAAGCACAATATATATACTATTGGTATGTATTTTTGCATAAGTGAAGAAAATCAGTTGATGCAGTTCCCCCATTTACATATTTTGTGTAGAATTCTTCAAAACTATTTAAACTTGCTTTTTAAATGCAAGTTACAACTCTAACTTTTTATACATCTAACTTTGTTCATGTGAATAGTTTGAATGATTTTAACACAACTACTTTTGTGAACAGATGTTCTGAATGAGTGCTATAATTTTATAGAACAGCGAGATCTTTTTGGTATTTGCAAATTCCCTCTAAACCTCTGACTTCCTGCCCCCCCTTCCCTTTCTCCTTTCCCCACCCCTCATTTTTTTTCAACATCCACACAGTAAAATTATAATGGAGATTTAGTGTTTTGACAACAGAGGAAAAAAGTTGTGATGTCATTTCTTCTCTTCTGTATTCAAGTGGTTTCTAACAGTTTCCAGAGACATATTCATGGCTGCTTGAAGCATGTCTTCTTCACTCATATCACCTCCTAAAGAAAATAAATGCATACAACACATAATAAATACACAGAGATAGTGCTCAACTGTAGCTAAATGACTTCTTTGTTCCTTTTATCTACACCCCAAGTTCTACCCTCACAGTTAAATGCCTTCTTTGTTCCTTTTATCTACACCCCAAGTTCTACCCTCATTCCCCCAAATTGTTTTCTATCATTAAACATTTTGCACTTAGCTTTCCATGCACAATGGTCAGTCTACAATAAGTAACAGACATTAATTTTGGATCACCGGTAGTTAATAAGGCTTACATACTTGCTTTCTATTGAAAAATGGTTTTAATGATTTTGTCAGATATTGCTCCAAGCTTATTACATTTTTGTAAAATTTTCATAAAATTTTAAAAGTCACTTAGAAAACAAATGTTTGGCACAAATCCTATTACAGATTACAATTTGCTATACTATGCTCAATGCAAATGAAACAACAAAAAGCAAAGCCAGAACTCAAGTAGACTAGTGGTGGTGCTGTACATTGTGAAATGGGATATTTACATTCAAACCAGAAAAGGCTTTCTGAGAAAGTGATCTTCTCCTTCACTGCTCAAAAGGGTAACAGCTGTGATGCACAGCCTGAATGGCTGTTGCAGGGACGAAGTAGGCAGACAAGGAAAATTAGGGAGTAGGACACAATACAATAGTGGAAAAAAATGCTAGAGCTGTATCAGGGTGGAAATAAATTCAAAAAACAATACCTGGGTCAGCTTCCAGGGTGCTCAAACTTCTAGTTGGTTTATCATGTAGGTTTTGGGTCTGATCTTGTTGCCGTAGTGGTTGCTGCTGCCTGAAAGTGTTACAAGTTTATAAAAGAATGAAATAAGTCTCATATTGATGTTAATTTTAATGTTTGGAATATCAAGTACAGTTATACCTTTATACTTTGTAAAAAACAAACATAAAAATCAATGAAAAACAACTTAAAAAACCCATACAAATCTGACATGGAAGTAAGATTCTTCTGATTTTATAAGGAAGCCATCACCTAATTTTATAATGGTGGCTTCTAAAACTGTAAAAAAATTTTTTTGAGGTTCAGGCATTTTCCAGTAATATTGTAAACTTATATGCTGTATTATAGACTAAATTCCTTTTTCTATAATACAATTGAAAATTACAAAAATCTTGTCACTGCTTGTACCGTTTTGACCTAACCCGTTTCTTATCTCTGGGAAAAAAAAATAAAAAAATCCCATCAATTAGGCCAAGGTACTTGAAGAATGAACTTGAACATGAGGAATGCTTCTACTGTTTTTAGAATCAACAGCACCCTATAGGAGCAACCTAGGCACAGGTTTACACTGATAATGTCTTTATTCTCTCTTTTCAGATTCTGCTCTGACAGTATTTCCACCTTACTACAAGTCTATTTCATTGTAAGGAAGGCCAAGAGTGAGAAATATACTCTATTGTTTGGTACAGTAACACCCCTGCACCTAAATCCTTTCAGTTGTTTCCCCCTGCTAGTCTCCAGGCATCTATTCTCCCAACGTTACGTTACTAATTGCCTTCTTATTTCCCCAGAATTCAGGTTTCAGCATTCTTACCCTCTCATGGAAAGTCTAATTCCTCCAACCCCTATCATATCTCCCTAGTCTTACTTTGCTCCATCTCTAGGAGATGGACATAAGTAAAAGCTACAACTATACACCAATTATATATTAAGAATGTACTACAGAACAGAAAAATAAAATATCATCTAGACATCTTCCATGTGATGCACATTAGATGCCTCTTTACCAGAAGCAGGGTCTTACAGTAAGAATATTTTCCTCCAGGAAAATAATTATCAAAATTATTTACAAAACTTCACGTAAAAATACTTTTATACCATGCCTTTTTCCCCCCCCCATTCACAAGATGGCAAGTGTTGCATTACTAACAAGACCCCTCTTATTTACAATTTTCTTTCCAGTCATTACCTCATAGCAACTATCTAGGAATAGTGAAAAATCAGGTACTATTAAAAAAAAAAAAAATCTTGCTAAAAGATAAAGGTTAAGTTGGACCTCAGGCAGAAACCCGCCCCCTCCTCAAAAGCACTAAATAATCATAAGTCATTTACTTCCACATGTAATTTTAGTTTCCCATCAACTACTTTACTTTTCAAAATACGCTTGTCTTCTCCTTCGCAGTTCTTCTGATGAAAGGGAATCTGACTGACTGGTATGAGGTGACTGTGGAAAATTCTGTGGTACTGAGTCCAAGAACTCACTTCGACGACTTCCTAAAAGCAGAACACACCACTTTATTCCACTAATTACAGTGAAATTAAGTTTGGAAACAAAGTATAGTTTAAAACCATCTCTTCAAACTTGAGAGGAGGAAAGAGACTTTTGGTAAAATAAGCACCTATGCTAACTTCACTGCCGCTACTTCTCCTCCTCACCTTAGGACTGTTTCCCTTCCCTCCTGCCACCATTTGACAAGTCATTTTTGCTTCTCAATGAACAATGCTAGCATGAAAAGCAGCAACTTTTCAAAGAGCCAGAAAGAGACAGCTACAGGAAAGATTGCATTATTATCCCATGCCTCAAAGCCAGTCTTTTCAGGGAGCTTGAAGCATGCAGAGAAGGCGGCTGACTGAAACAGATTTCAGTAGCCACTATAGCATAATTGGTAAGAATATTATAAGAGATACTAAAATAACCACTGCACCTTGCATACTGAGTTGAATGGCTCTACGAAGATCAGCTTCTTCATCTTCCATATCAATTTCCTGTCTACTTAGGGCCAGGGCTCTTTGAAAATTCTCCTCATCTTCATCTAACATGCCTGTTCCATCAAAAGGATGGTTAACTTCTATTGCTTGGTCCACATTACTTTTGGGCAGCCTGTCAAGTTAATACATTTAAATCATTCAGTCAGAGATAATATTAACTTTTATTGTGAGATTTAACAGAAGTATTTTTTTTTTAAACTTCAGAAAAAAGCATTTCTATTATGATGATTTCTGTCATGTAATCAAGTATTTTTCACTTCTACCTGAAGAACAAAAGCACAGAGACTGCAAGTTTAGCTCTTTCAGTTGCAAAAACAAACATACTGCAACCGCAACCAATGCATATAAGTTTACAAGAGTCCATTCTATAGGAAATGCTACAAGAGCAATACTGCTATAAAAAGCAATGATACTTTGTTATTGGAACATATGCTATTCAGTTATGGCAGCAGAAAACAGCAGAGATGGTCTTTTCCTTAGGAAGCTTTGATGACTTCACTCTGTAAACTAACTATGCATGCTTTTTATATTACAACCAAGTAGCTTGTTGTTCTTGCAGCATCAATTTACAACACTACATTTTATATTTACCAAGTGGAAGGAATAGTAATGAAGGCTCCAAAAATGAAAAGCCTAAGCCTTTTTTTTAAATCAGTATGCAATTTATTCACTATGAAAATGTGATAAAATTATTGCAACAATAGTTCATTGTGCTGCTAAGGATGCATTATTAGTAGCACGCATCGCAATACAGCATGGCCACAACATTTACTCCTTTTTGGCATAATTTCACTGTAACATATGATTTGTATGACATGGAATTCAGTTTTGGGATTATCACAATGGAATGCACAAGCCAATAGTAACCATAGATCAGTTAAGACTATCCATAGTTTGGTAAGATTGATGCACTCTATTATAAAAGGAAAAAAAGGCTGCATTATACAATAATACATATGCACAGGAAAACACTGAATTCTTATTACAGCAACTTTGGTCCTCTTAAAAATACACCCTTTATACTCTAACTTGGTTTTATTGTGTGCTATAGTAGTAAACATAATGCACTGAAGACATTTAAAACTACTTCACAAGGGTTCTTAAAGGTTTTGTCTCCATGTAGGTACTAGTCTTGGAAACTAATCACGTTGAACATTATTAAAATGAAATCTCTATTTCCTTTACCTCTGATCTCTTGACTGTGCTGTCTCTTCTCCAATTAATTTTGGTCGCTGTATCTGCTGTACCCGAATCATCTGCAATAGCTGATCAGCCTCACAGTCTGGCAAGTCACCTTTTACTACAAATATGGAATAACCTGAGAAGAATAAATCATAAGTCTACAAGCATAAGGTGCATGTATAAATATTCTAAGATGCATACTATATGGAAAACAATGATGCATAATTTATTACAATATGAGGCTCTACCTTTCATTATAAGGACTTGGATTATTTCACTACTTCAGTCACAGAGCTAAGGGTAATTAACTGAATACAAAAAGTTCTAATAAATAATGATTATTACCTACTTTTTGTTAATGATATTAAATATCTGCAAGTTACTATTACCTTCCTGTTGTAATTGAGCCAAGAAAAGTGCAAGATATGTATCTGATATTAGTTCTGGACCCATCAAGAGAGAGTTCAAGTTAAACCACTGTAATTAAGAAAAAAAAAAAAAAAAGGTTTGAGAGAACAAATTAGTATGAAGATTACCTGGTAATCCATTTGTGTACAATGTGGTCATTTTCTAAGATGGAATATCTGACTCAATCTAATAGAACGAATTATCAAATTAAGTCTTTTGAAGTACGGTACCTATGCTGCTTGAAGGGTAACCTTCAAATACTCTTTAGCTAACAAGAGGTGTGAAGTGAGAAAATTTCTGCATGCTTTTTCCCCGTTCTTAAACACTCGTACCAGGCAAATGACAGTTAAAAAAAAGGAAAAAAACCCCCCACTAAATATAATAGTGAAAGAATAGTTTCAGTCATAATTTAAAAATACTGCTTAAACCTAGCTTTAAATTTGCTCAGGAAATGATATTCAGGAGGAAAAATCCTTCATAAGTTCACACTATATCCTATTATATTAATAGAAACAGGAAAGTGAAGAAAAGTTCAATACTTTCTGTTAAAGGCATTCTAAACACACTGCCTTTAATAGCTGATGATGCTGAAAATAATATCGTTTTAATTCTGAGAGCATTTTTTTAATTTAAAAATTAACCAACCAAGAAAATCGAACTCAAATTTAATCTGTTGGTAACACAGCATAATATTACAATAAGGGAGACTTGAGGTAAACGTACATGATCACTCCTAGTCCCCTGAGCAAGGTAATTAATTATTTATAATACTTCTACTACAGTAAAATATTTTATTCTATATGGACAAAAAAAAAAAATTCTACCTTTAAAACTCCATACACATCTCACTAAATTTGAGAAACTTTTAAAATATACTATACCCACTCAAAATTATTAAATTTTAACCCGAACGTACCATCTCAGATGGTAGAAAGAGAATTCAGTTGCATTCAAAATACACTTGCAGTCAGGCCCATACTGTAATTTACCTAGAATATAGGTGAAGTGACTATCTACCATTCTGTCATTCACTCACTTATATTCTCACTCATAAAAGCCCTTTATCACTAGGAAAAGTTAAGAACACAAAAGGTTATGTATGCAAGTATGATGGACAGATTACAGGTAAACATTTAAAAGGGAATGAGGAGGAGGAAGATCTGGGAAACTTATTTTGCTTTAATCGTAACAGAAGAGAATTGCGTCAAATCACTAAGTCAATCTCTTTCGCCTCTATCTTTTCTCATTCCTCTCTAGATGACAGATACCTCATATTGTTTTGTGGCTATGAACCATTTTTGCAAGAAAAAGACACTCCAACTCCAATTTAAGGTCTTAGCCTAGAATGACACCTCACAAAGTCCCAGTCTACATGGTTGTACATGTAAGGAATGCTCCCCATACTTTTAAGCTGTTTTGCTTGTAAAAATAATAACAGCCACACGTAGAATACTACTGGCTCTTCCGGTTTAGTTTCAATAACCTTCCCAGCTATCAGTTCCAATTAAAGCTAACTGCAGCATACCATATTTTTTACCCTTTTGTTAGCCTGAATAATTGTTTCAAGCACGAATTCTCCAAACCTGCCAAAGCAGTTTCTGCTTCAATTTTAATTTTCTAAGAAGGTTTCCTAGAAGACTTTAGTGTTCCATCCAGCTTTTAAAAACAAAAACATGAGAATACTGCAGTGCCCTATTAGCATCGAGAAGACATAGTTTGTTTATTCACAATTGTATTTTTTAATCTGGATGACAACATAGGTGACCACTTGTAAAGTGGACTGAATAGCCACACCAACTCCTGTCCACTGTTATAGAAAATATTAATCAACTTTTAAATTCTATAACTTAATAAAGAAAAACCTCACTTATGTTGTACGAAAACTCATCCAGAACAACAATTGGCCACCAAAAAAACCATGGCATTGGGTGTTAAAAGACACATGGGTGCGACTGTTGAGTAATGATACTCGCACCATACATCTGTACGGCCACCCCTTACCTTTAATAACTCTATTTCCTATTTGTAGTGCAACTACCTCACAAAGTTTTCTAAAGTAGTGGAAAGCTGTGCTTCTACTTTCCCCCCAACCTTATCCCTATGAATATTCTTAAACATTGGCAATTGTACATATTAAAAGTTCTAATGTATTAAGGAACTTTTCCTTGTACCTACTGGCCACTTGAAAGAGCAAAACACTATTGGCAACTTATTTTTACAGGGTCAGTAATTTAGTGCATTAAAATAAACTTGCATTCCACTGGGATCCTAAGCCACGTCTAAGGTTTTCTTCCTCTCACATGTATAATTTTTCCACTGTGTTTCACGTGGAAAAGAAAACTTAGATGTGACACAGACTCTGCCTAAGCTGCAGTTTCCTATATGACACCAGTTCACTGGTGAGTTGATCATAAGATCTTTCCCCAGGCTAACACTCATGAAAGTCTGCCTGGTATCTTTGTGATAACGAAAGGTTTTTTTTTTTTTTTTTTTTTTTTTTTTTTTTTTTTTTTTTTTTTTTTTTTTTTTTAGTGGAATACTAATAAAGCAAATTTCAGCAAAAGCCTGCAAAAGGCCAACACGTGGTCTCACTGCAACCATTTTTTCCACCCCCACTCTGAAGTCAATTTTTAAATAAAAAAAGACAATGTCACCTGTTTTCCTAACTTTCGAACTGTAAACCAGTGTTCCTTATAATTACAAATAAATGATTTTTCATTTCTGTAAAAAGAAAAACAAAAGGTATAGATAAAATTAAATACTCTAATATTGGTGTGCATAAAGTTTAAATTCTTTGCTACCACTAATTTAAACATAAATACTAAAATTAAGACAACTGTTGATGGTACAGAGTATTCTTACTGCTTCTATAACTTAGGAAGTAGTCTTTTTTTGTAATGTTGACATTACTGAAATCTCAGTATGCCTGTGATGCCACAGATACTGAGATGTCATGAAGGCACAGAGGACAGATGCTTGTGTACACCCCCAAAAGATAAAAAAAATTAAAGGCAGAGGGGATAAAAACGAAACATCACAGTGTAGCAGGGCTTGAAATAGCCATTTTAAAGAAACAGAATACTTTTTTAGCATTATTTTTCTGTAAAATGAAAGCAGAGCGCTAAAAAAGTCTTACATAGGGTCGATCCCAAGGCTCTGATACTCTGGGCTGTTGAAGAGGACTAGTTCTAAACCCCAAACTTTCAAGGCATTGCTTATAACCTGTCAAAAAAATAGCACTTTTTGTGAGTCAAACCAGTTTAAACGCAATCATTTTTGCCACTATAAAAAAAATATTGTTTTCATAAAACAGTGATTTCAAAGCACCACTGTGAAAAAGGAAACCTCAGAATCACATTACTTGAAACATTATTCAACTGCCATGAATCTACATTCAACGTAACATGCGTATCACTTCTGAGGGGAAGTTACAAAAGTATTTAACTGAGAGGCATTAAAAAACCTCAGCCTCCCAGATGAAATTATAATTTCATCTCTCACAGACACTTCATACATCTTCATCTCTTTGCCCTCAGTGTACCGTCACGCTCTCCCATTCACCTCCTCAAAACAGTGTCATCCCTTCCCAGTGCACCTATTAGAAATCTTGCATCACTGGGATGGCACATTGTCAGAGTCAGGTTCATTAATACTGGTTTACTGCTAATGTGTTTTAGATTGAATATTGTAGTCCACTTTAAAAAGATGTCCATCAAGGCTTTCTGATCAAATTGAAGTTGAACTTGGTTTCTGTTATGCTGCAAACTGCAGCATAACAAAATCCTGGACATTATTACAGTTTATATGCTTTGCCCAAATCTGACTCTCTTAAAATAGAGATTTTCCTACCATTTTAGGAAATTTCAATCTCATTTTAAAAAGTAATCAGTAAATTCAAAGATAAAATGGTAACTAAAACTCTTTGACAATAACTCTTTAAAATTATCTGTAATATTGTAAGAAATTTTAAATCAACAATGCATCTTCCTTTCAGCCAGCTAGCTGCACAGCAAGTGAGCAAAGCAAAGACAGGGCAAAAAAGTAGAATGATAGGAAGTGATTTTTTTTTAGCTTCAGTATTGAAGCAGCACAATTGAGAATACCAGAAACGCCAAAAACTGGTAATGTTTTTTCACTGAGAGAAAATGGGGGGCAGAGAAGAACTCTGTCCTATCACAGACAAGATGAAAGAGAGGTCCTTGTGGGGTTTTAGAACATTAACGACCACCCCTGAAAACAAGAGATAGCCAGTCTGGACACAAAGTTTAGATACAAGCTGCAACTTGACATTCAATACGTTTCTGGTGTAGGTATTTTTATTATCATGCTTTCATTATGTGAGAGAGAGAGAGAGAGAAAGGGAGGGAGGGAAATCTGAGCAAATCTCAGTGGTGTTTTCTCACCTGCAGTTTATGGGAGCCAAGGTCTACCTCTGAAACAATTAAAAGAAGCAACCAAGAAAGCAAGTTTATTGCCAGCCCTAATTCAGGGGCCCATATTTCTTTCCAAGTCTTTAAGGGCCCATAAAACAAAGAATTGCAAGTCACTGCTCTTATTGGTAAGCACTCTGAAAATTTTAAAAACCATCACTTCCCCACCATTAATCCTATAAACTAGAAACCAGCAGAAAGGGACCGTGGCATTTAAATTACATTAAAGAGAACATATACCAATATAAAGAAAATTGTCACAGTATATAGCCATGCTTACTTGAATTGAGAAGAATCCACTGTCATCCATATTTACAGAAGGCTGCTGCTCAACGTGAGATTAGGAAAGAGAAAAGGGGACGGGGGGGGGAACAAAGATGTAAGCATAAAGTTGATTTTTGCTGACCTTTTAAGAATCAAGAAAATTGCACACACTTAAAGCAACAACTAAATCCTATTCTGTAAGGCTGATTACAATGCCCAAATATGCTTATTAATAAAAAACTCAAACCTTTAAATTAGAAATGCTCAGTGCTTAGAGGAGAGACAGGCATCAGAACTTCTGTTCCCATCTCTGCCACTGGCTTACTCTGTGACAAGAGGCAAATCTCTCATCCTTCTCGCCATGCCTGACCTCCCTACCTGTAAGATGGAGATAATATGTCTTTTATAGAATTACTGTAAAGCTTTAGTAGCAAACTTTGAAAATGCCAAATCTGAGATGACTGAACAAAAAAAGGCTATAAATTTAAGAACTGTTAGTCCTGGGAAATAAGCCCTCTGTAACTGTGCAAAAATAGCAGGTATGTGCTATACAGTACTATGTTCCAGGGAAACAAATATCAAGCAACCTGAAATTTAAAAAATTTTACCTGTAAAAATGTTCTGTATTCTTCACTAGACACTCCTCCCTCTGCCATTCTCATTCTTTCTTCCTCATCCAGCTGCTGTGCAATAGAGGATAACTCAACAGGACTAAAATACTCCCCTTGCAGCAAATTATTCAGACAGTGCTGAGCACACAATGAGCCTTCTTGCTAACATTGGAAAACAAAACAAAAGTACACAAATTCCATTTTAATGTTTTGCTCTGTAAAATGTTTAAATCATTATGGCAAACGCCCCTCTTCCCCCCAATACAATATTTTCTTCAGATGTATTACCCTGAAAGCTTTAGAATACACACAAAAAAGCCAGCAACTTCATAAATTCTCCCCCTCCCACATACTACTATATTTCCCCAAGGGAAATAAATTCCAAGTAAAAACTCTATTTTAGAAAGCGACGTAAAAATTGCCTACAGCTTGACTAAATCACATGAGAACTTCAGGACCAGCAGAACAACAGATTCCATCCTCTTCAAAACCACCGCAGCATGAAAATGAAACATTTTTGATCTGTAATTCCCAGTGGCAAACTGGACAACACATACTCTTGTTGCATTAAACTTTTCTTCTGTGCCAGGTGTAACTATCAGCAATCTGCTCTCCATATGTGGCTAAAGAGAAGCAAGCCATTAAGATTATGAATTCTGTAGATATACACTTATAAATTTCTTTATTTCAGATTACTCACCCAGTTCAGGTTATAACCAGTTCATTTACTGCCGAGAAATTGATTAGAGGCTGGAAGAGCAGTAAAGCTTGTTTTCCACATCAAGTTTAAGAATAGGAACTATGTAAAAGAAGCTAAAAGCTAATGGTTCTAAAATCTTGAAGGGGAAGATGAGGAGGAAAAAAAAAAATCAGTTCAGCTCATTGAACAATGAAAATATTTCTGGTTGGTAAACTATTTAAAGACAAGGCATTTTACATACTTTGTTATGTATCCAGCGCCCTGGAGATAACACAAATGTAATATATCACTTTTAGACTATCAATCTAAATTAAAAATGAATAAATTAGAAGTGACAGTTATTATTTTGTAGGATAAGTAAAAAAAAACCTGAATGTACGTCACGCTCTTTCATTCTCATAATTAGTGCAGATAAAAATGCTACCTTGCTTAAAAAAGGAAAACTTTAGTAGCCAATAACCGTTATTTTTAAAGAAATAACTAAACTGCAAGTGCAAAATAAGATTCACATCAGTTTTGAAATCTAGGTTTCATCTTTGCTATTTTAATTAATCCTTCCTATTTTTGTTTACCTTAAAGTACGTGCACTTTGAAGAATAAAAACAGAAACCGCAACCAAACAAAAAACAAAACAAAACCCCCAAAATCCCAAGTACCAAGGGCATGCCTTGTAGGAATATTCTTCAAACTTCTATGACAGCCTCATTCAAGCTATATGCACAGATCTGCCATGGTTCATCCCTTAAAGCAGGAATCTCAAAAATTTCCTTTACCCCAGATTACAAAATCTTCCCAGGGCTTTATCACTCAACTAAGCAATGAGTTAAGGCTGGACTGGGTGTACAGCTGGGGTCTAACAGAATTCAGAAACCTTCTCCACCATCCCGCAGCTTGTGTTCTCCCACTGCAAGAAAGACCGCATCCTCCAAGACCACATCCCTGCTGTTGGTCATATGATAAAACTAAAGCAGAGCAACCTGCTTAAGAATTGCAAGTTTCTCCACCAAAACTACTTGAAACCGATTTAGGAACAAAGAGAGATTATAGTCTTTGAAAACAAGTTGTATGACAGTGTTTAAATCCAGTTTCACTGAAAGGGCATTTCTATATTTGTACAGAAAAAGTTTTATCTTAAGACAACATACATTAATTTTTCATATGCATGATTTGTACGTATTAAGGGTAAATGCAGAAGACAAAACTGATCTTACAGTTTGTAAGAAAAGTTAAGTTTGTTTTTTTGTGTGTGGAGAACACAATGCTTTTTCCATAATCTTAAATCTCCTTGTTGAGATCTATCTCGATATAAAACTGTTGCCCTGCTTTTGGTGTTTTCAACCACTTGTATCATGTAAGAGAAGGGGTCGAATTTTAAGAAAGTGGCTCCTTAAGCCTGGAGGAGGCCTACTTTGGGCATTTGCCATTCTCCCGTGGAAAAAAAAAAGTCACATTGCTTAGGTCTTTGTTTTGTTAAAGGTATCCCTTTAAAAATGTCATTTTTTTCATGCCTCAGTTTTTTAATTAAAACTTCTGAAGTGTACAAGTGATGCACACAGGCATTCAACGCTCAATATTTTGTAGTGCACTCAGGAAAAAAAAATACCACTTAAGAAAAAAAAAAGAAAAAAGACATAGTAGTTCAGTCAAATTTTCCCTAGAATAGTAATTATAACAAAATAAGATGAATTTGAGTGCCAAGTATTTTTAAAACAGACAGTCAGGAACATTAATAACTGGATAACTAACTTGCTAAAGCATAGTTGCATACCATTCACAAGCAAGACGTCCCAAGAACATTAAGATAAACAAACAAAACCACTCCTCAATAAGAACTTGTAGCAACTACAAATGACAATTAACTTGTAACTCTGACAGTATTATGCTCTATCATTTTAACTCTACCAGAGTTTTATTATTCAAAATCAACAAAGCAATTTCCTCAAAAACACTTTATGTTACTATTTCCTCAGGTGACAGGCTAGGCTACATAAGAGAAAGGTACACTTGATTTGAACTCATTATTTTCAAATCTGGACTGGAACTCAAGGTCATTGTAACACAGGCTGTAATGACTGAAATCAATACTTATCCCCTGAGCAGCAGCAGTTTAACACCCCAAGCATTTGCAAAGTTCTGCTATCCAAATCCAGTGAAAACACACTCCTCAGGTTATACAAATTCCAGAACATTAAAGTTTGCTTTATACAGTTATACAGCTAGCTTGTTTGAGAACAGTGTATAAGAACTAGCATTAATCTTAACACAATAAAGATGTTATGACATTGGCAAAGCATATGAGGAAGACAATAGTACTCCAACAGCATTGTAGCACACATAGTTGGCATTTGGGAACCTAGATAAACCACAAGAGTTAATGGAAGCATTTCTCCTCCAAATCAGGAAACACTATTTAGCATACAGAAGCACTGCACATGAATTAGCAGTGCATTAGCATGGATTAAGGAAATCCTTAACAACACTCTCTTTCACTGCTTTTGCAGCCTCAGTGAAGAGGAAAGAGAACATAACAGGAAGAGTCAGAAACAGTCCTGCCTGCCCAGGCTACACACCCTCACACTCACTTCTCAGCCGCAGAAGCTCTCTCTCAAGAAACAGGAACAGCATTAGCCTGCACTTCCCCGTAGCGGAGGTCTACTTTCAAAGGCCCGAGAAGGGAAGTCACTGGGTGAGAGGAAACGTCGAGGCTCGGCCCTGGCTTTCTTTGATCTCCAGTATAACGTTTCCTTTTCCCACCGAGCCGGAAGACTTCGCAGAGCCAAGCCGGGCCGCAGGGTCCGGCAGCGCGGTGCGAGGGGGCCCAGCTCTCCGCCCAGGCAGAGGGGGGGG